CCGCCCCGTTCATGCTCTCTCTCTGTCTCAAAAATAAATAAACGTTAAAAAAAGAAAAATTAAAAAAAAATAATAATAAAATAAAAAAAAAAATCAGAAATGGAGACAGAAACCATTACCTCCTTTAATGAGATGGACCTCCCCTGACCGCCAACCCAAGAGTCCGGGCTCTTAAGCTCCAGATGCCAAGATGGGTGTTACCTATGTGCCGACAGGCTGGGGGGCATTTGGGAGGCAGTGAACACTGGAAACACCATTCATTTATGCCTAAGAAGATCTCACCTGCTGCTTCAGACCCCCGGTGGAGAGGGGACTTTGTGGTCCCCTTCCCTGCCGACCCGGGAGGGACGAGGGGCTAGGGAGGGGAGGGGAGGCTTGTGAATGGTACCTGAGGAGGAAGGGAGGAAAGCCTGAGGGCACACTATGAAGACGGGGCTGCGGCCCCGGGGCATCATGAGAACTTTATGGGAGCCTGGAAATGTTCACCTTGGCCTTTGGTTTCCCTTGAGGTAAAATTATTTTAAGTTGTGTTCTTTGCCAACTCAGCGGTCCTCTCCCAAACCTTGTAAGACCTTAGCTTGACTGGCTACGTGATTAGGCCCTCCCAGCTTCCTCCAGAACCGGCCCTGAGGAAAGTTGCTTTCGTGAAGGGCGGACATTGGTTTAGGTCCGTGAGGAGCTGGGGAATCTCAGGCTGGATCCTTGTCGTGCCTGAAGATCGAGAGAACTCTGCCCTTGTCCCTGAGATTTCCAGCCGCTCTGAGGCCACCTGCCCACCTCAGGTCACCCTGGGCTGGCCCTCGGGCTTCCTTCCACACCAGCCACCTGCCCTGACTGGCCACTGCCTGACACTCACCACGGCCGACACCTGTCCTTGGTCCTGGCTACTTGCTGCCTCTGCAGCCTGCCTCGCTGGCCAAGTCCTGGCAAAAATAGCTGCTGGTGAAGGTTCTAAGGCTCCCCACTTCAGAGGCTTCCCCTCACTAGCTTTCTTACAGGAACAGCAAGGGACAGTGATTTCAAGTTGTCGCTTCATCAGGTGAATGGTGCATAGCCTGTCCTATGATTTGCAAGAGCTTAGCTCAGTTGACCGTGCGATTACCATGATCTTAAAAAAACCCTTTTTGCCAGTGTAATTATTTGCCAGTAGTAAACGTCTGTTCAAGCATTGTATATAGGTGACTTTTTTTTTAAATTTTTTTAACGTTTATTTATTTTTGAGACAGGGAGAGACAGAGCATGAACGGGGGAGGGTCAGAGAGAGGGAGACACAGAATCTGAAACAGGCTCCGGGCTCTGAGCTGTCAGCACAGAGCCCGATGTGGGGCTTGAACTCACGGACCGCGAGATCATGACCTGAGCCGAAGTCGGCCGCTTAACCGACTGAGCCACCCAGGCGTCCCGTATATAGATGACTTTCAATATCTGCCTAATTCTCATCTTTTATAATTCTGTGAACTAAGGATGGAAGTGTAAGTTCTATTTAGATGTTACATCCTCATTAGTTGATGAACGTCTGACTCTTGACCTTGGCTCAGGTCATGATCGCATGATTCGTGGGATCAAGCCCTGCGTTGGGCTCTATGCTGGCAGCATGGAGCCTCCTTGGGATTCTCTCTCCCTCTCTCTCTGCCCTTCCCCTGCTTGTGCTCTCTCTCTCTCTCTCTCAAAATAAATAAACTTCAAAAGGAAATCATAGATCCCCCGCCCCTCCAGGGGATTCGAGGCAGAACTAGCAAATATAAATTCACCCACTCAACATTTTATCGACAGATTGAATCCTGCCACATGCCAGGCAGAATCCTGGGGACTGGGGACAGAGCAATGAAAATGACAAAGTCCCTGTTCCCACAGAGCTTATGTTCCGCTAGAGCCAGTGATGGTAACAGCTGGGGTTCTTCAAAGCATACTTGAGTTTTTTGCATCTAAGTATTTCTGTAAATTCTCTGGGCAGTTGCTTAACCCATTTAATGTCTCTTTCAAGAAATTCAGGTCAATTCAGATATCGATAGAGAGTCCTAGGTCCCTCGGTAACTGCTCCTAGCTGACCTGTAAAAGTTGAGACAGGTACTTAATTCCTGTGGGACCCCTCCAGTCCCCCAGCCTCACTCTAAGGGTACCCTCATTTTTCACAGTGTACATCTTGTTAATGTGTTTGTTTTGGCTGAATACAGTTCATTTAAAGAATTGAATTTAAATTTTTTTTTTTTCAACGTTTATTTATTTTTGGGACAGAGAGAGACAGAGCATGAACGGGGGAGGGGCAGAGAGAGAGGGAGACACAGAATCGGAAACAGGCTCCAGGCTCTGAGCCATCAGCCCAGAGCCTGACGCGGGGCTCGAACTCACGGACCGCGAGATCGTGACCTGGCTGAAGTCGGACGCTTAACCGACTGCGCCACCCAGGCGCCCCTAAAGAATTGAATTTAGAAAAAGGTGAAACTCTGTGTAGCTGATAATTCAGTGTTGCATATTTTTATTTGATCTCATGTGGATATGAAGAGAATCCAGTTACTAGCAGAGTATACGTTCATGGATCTGGTCACTTAGCACATTTTATTGAGCTCTACACCTCGGTTCCAGACAGCGGCTGGATCCTGGAGATCCAAAAATGAGTAAAGATGCAGGTCGTGCCTCAAGAAGAATGCAGACCAGTCAGAGAGAAAAGTGATAGTCGCAGGAGCAGATAAGGGGGTCCCGTAACTCAGCCTTATGGGTCAGGAAGGTCATTTTAAGTAGTGTCCTGGAGGGTGTGGCCAATGTGAGAAAGTTGCATATGGTCCATAAGGTTGAAATAAAGGGTGGGGAGGGATGAGGTGGGAGTGGGGGAAGCAGGGTCTGGATTGTGATGGCCTTTCAGCCATTCTAAGAATAATGGTTGGAAGTTCCATGAAAAGATGGACGTGATCAACATGAGGAAAGCATGGCAGGGTGTTGTATTTTATTTTTCATTATTATTATTTTTAATGTTTATTTATGTTTGAGAGAAACAGAGAGACAGAGCATGAGAGGGGGAGAGGCAGAGAGAGAGAGGGAGACACAGAATCCCAAGCAGGCTCCAGGCTCTGAGCTGTCAGCACAGAGCCCGATATGGGGCTCGAACCCACGAACCGTGAGATCACGACCTGAGCCGAAGTCTGATGATTAACTGACTGAGCCCCACCAGGCGCATCAAGGTGTTGTCTTTTAGAACAGCATCCCTGGTCACAGTGTGGAGAGCAGGTTGGCGATAAGGAAGACCAGAGGCGCCGTGACCTGGGTGAGAGAAGTTGGGGGTCGTGGCAGACGAGGGACAGGCCTGGGCATAACTGGGCGATACTAGAGAGGTACAGTCAGCACATTGCTGAGGAACCAACACCCGAATTCTGCACCGAGTGTGGGTCTCTCTTTTCTTGGACATTATTTTAGCGCTAAGACTTGGCGTGTCGCCAGTGGTGTTTAATGTAAGGGTGAGTTTGGAGACTCCCAGTATTGGGAAAATCTCTGAGGCTGACTCAGCCTGGCCAGCTCGAGCAGCCTTTCAGGTTCTGTGTTTTCTCTGCCAACCTCAGGAATCTGAGAGTATTATTCCAGAACCGGCCAAGAACATGGAGCTGGACTGAGGGATGTGGCCGTGTGATGAGCCCTCATCACCCGTGTTGTATGATTCTGCTTTTTCTGTTACTAGTCTTGAGACATAGCATGTGGAGTGGGAAGGGCACTGAATCAGGGACCAGGAGCTTCGAAGTCCATCCTGACTGTGGTGCTTACTTGTCCTCTAATCTTTGGCAAATTACTTAACTCTGTGGCCTCAGTGTCCTCACCTGTCCAAAGGAGGGATTGAGTGTGAGGCTTTGGGAATACAGATTGCTTTCATGTCCCCAGTCCAAGATTCTGTGAGCTCACTGCCTGAGTTGTAAGGCATTAGGAAGTTTTAGGTACTGTTCCCTTCGGTTAATTAAAGTAATTGTAGTACACTGGCCTCACAAAGGCTTCTCATAGGGCCATTTTGGAAAAGGGATGGAAAAACTCTTCCTTCTTTGCCCTTTTAGGAGATACAGCCTGGTCCTACAGCTTTAGGGACATAGAAATTCCAGTGGGCAGAGTAGACACCTGTGTGAACTTGGCATGGCCTCACCCTCTCTTACCTTGTAAATTTCTTTCTTTAACCAGAAATCAGTGTTTAACTACTAAATGGCTCAGCAATGTTAGTATTTTGTTTTGATGGAAGAAAAGCTTTTGATGACCTACCTTTATTTGCCGTTTCAAAGCTGAAGTAAAGGCATACTTATAGGCACGTAAAGTCAGAAAAGACATAATTTTGTTCAGATTTTCTAATTGCTTACGTGTATGGTCTGAATTTTCCTGGGTAGTGATAGAGATCTGCAATATTCTTTGAATACAGACAAAAATTAATTATATAATTAGGCACTATTAAAAATTTTTTTAATGTTTATTTTTTTTGAGACAGAGAGAGCATGAATGGGGGAGAGGCACAGAGAGAGGGAGACACAGAATCCGAAGTAGGGTCCAGGCTCTGAACTGTCAGCACAGAGCCCCACGTGGGGCGGGAACCCACGAACTGTGAGATCATGACCCAAGCTGAAGTCAGACACCCAACCAACTAAGCTACCCAGGTGCTGTTAGGCAGTATTACTAATTAATTATATCTTTTCAGGAGTAAGAGTGGTGGAAAAACGTCTCTAATCTCATAATATTCTAAGGGCTTGAAATATAATGCATGAAATAAGTAGGCATTGCTTAGTTATCATGTCTTGGCTATTTATATATTTTATCAACAAATTACTGTCTTTCATTTCAATGGAATGTACTTTTATCGTAGTTGGCTTCATTTTTAGATTCAACTTAAAATTTATGTGAATTCGTATTTTTTCCTTTATTTTCTATTTATGGACCTAAGGAAGAAAAGGGAGAGGCAGCAACGGAAGAGGTACAGTAGCGTAATTAACGGTGGTGCCTAATGAAAACATCTCTTAGGTCAGAGAATCGCAGCCTTAGCCACGTTCTCCTTGTTCTTCATGACGTGAAGAAGCCGATGCAGCCTGCATCCCAGAAGAGCCTCCCTTGGGCTGCTGAGAAGGGAAATATAAGTGGGAGGTGAATGTATCCAAGAGGGGTGGCTAGAGGAATAGGGCGTGGCTAGAGAAATGGGGCGTGGCTAGAGAAATGGGCGTGGCTGCGGACCTTTTCCGAGCCTTGTGTCTGCAGAGTCAGGCCAGGCTGGACCGGGTCCTTCTTCCACTCTGCCTTTACCCCTTATTGCATAGTGTGCACACTTCATGCAGCTTGCACGGTGCTTGGCAGTGCTGTTTTGACCCGGTTGGTGAGGGAAGGATTCCCTTCCGGTGGCCACGGGGATGGCTGATACCTGCCGCGTGACAGTGGGCAGATGAGACTGCCAGCAGATGACTAGTCACCTCTTCTCAAAGCCCAAGGGATGAAGACATCAATAAGACGTCAGTACAGTGCAGGGACACAGGGAGCTGCACTGGGACAGTGTGAACAATCGGGGCGTGGGAGGCGGGCTTTGTGGATTCAAGACAGCAAAGTGTGTCCTGGTTCACTTGTTTGGATTCGCTTGTTTGACTCATCGCAGGGGACGGGCAGGCACTGTGCCCGGGTCCTTGACGAAGCTGGCTGCTTGGCTAGGAGACCTCCTTTGTGGGAGCTTAGGCCAGTGTGTAGGCCATTTCCGGCTGTCCAGATTTTAACCGGATGTCAGGGCAGCACATAATATTGAGTCCACGTTAGACATTGTGCTACGGCTACGTTTCGTGGAAACCGGGAAGCTTAAGCATGCAGCGCATCGCTGGGTGTCTGGAAGGTATGTGACCTTAGGAAACCATAACATGGTCCGGGGATTTCTAGTGGGAACCTACCCAGGGAAAGCTTTATTGATTTGGGAAGAATTACTTTTTTTTTTTTTTTAATTTTTTAATGTTCATTTTTGAGAGAAGGAGAGCACACGTAAGAGAGAGCCAGCAGGGGAGGGGCAGAGAGAGAGGGAGACACAGCATCCGGAGCAGGCTCCAGGCTCTGAGCTGTCAGCACAGAGCCGGATGGGGGGCTCAAACTCACAAATCGTGAGATCGTGACCTGAGCCGAAGTCGGATGCTTAACCTACGGAGCCACCCAGGCACCCCGATGACAGGTTTTTAAGGTGACTTACATGTACAAGGTCTTTCCAAAGCATTCCATTAAGTTCACATAAGGAGAAACATCCTTCCGTACTCGTATTTCATTGATTTCCATGGTGTTTATTAAAATTGTGTAATTACAGAACGGCTCTAACTTGCATACACAAGTATGTCAACATAACCCATCCTGGAGAGTGAAGACTGCAGTGGGTGCCGATGGCAAATGTACTGCTTGTGAGTGCCCGCCGTGCTCTGGTTATCAACCAGCATGATTTAAGGGAGACGAGGTAGACTGCAGCAGAGGTTCTCAAAATGGGGTTCCAGGGCAGCAGCCGCAGCCTCACCTGGGAACCTGTACGGACACACACTTTCAGGCCTTGTCCCAGATCCACCGAATCAGAAACCCCGAGGCGCAGCCCAGGAAACTGTGGTTCGGCAAGCTCTTCAGGTGTTTCTGATGCCCCATCACGTCTGAGAACCTCTGGATTAGAACCTAAATTCTAGGTAACCTGATGTGTTTGCAAGGGGAGGCCAATTGCAAGAGCTCCAACTGTTTTTTGTTTTTTTTTTTAAGTTTATTTGTTTATTTTGAAGGGGAGAGAGAGAGAGCGTGCACGCCCGAATGCGAGCAGGGGAGGGGCACAGAGAGAGATGGAAACAGAGAATCCCAAGCAGGCTCCGCGTCATCAGCACGGAGCCTGATGTGGGGCTTGAACCCACAAACTGTGAGATCGTGACCTGAGCCGAGACTCAGTCAGACGCTTAACCGACTGAGCCACCCAGGCGCCCCAAGAACTCCCACTGTTTTGATCCTCATCATAAAAAGTCCATTGAATTTCAAAGACAATAGGGTTTACTTTATGTTAGGAACTTGTGTTTGGTAAAATGAAACCCCAAACCCTTATTTTTCTTTTGGGGATTGAAATGAGTAACAGGAGATGAGAAGGGGGATAGAGACCCCAGACCCAGGAATGTCTGAAACTCGGCTTAGGTCTTTTTACGAATGAATTCTCTTCTTTCCCATTCTTTTCCCGCCGGTTGAAATGTTCTAATTTTACCAGTGTAATTGTGAAAGCTTTCAAGAATGATCTTTTTCTTGTTTGAGAAATTTTGTTTTTCTTCCGGATAGGCACTGGGGGCGGACTTCATTATAAGGAACTTCATGATAATTGTCGTTAGTTTAGCACTGCAACGGCAGCATCCTGTGTTTGTACCGCTGACGATGTGCAAGAGGCACTCCGTGTCAAAATGAAGCAGAATCGAGATTCTTGCCCGGCTGCTTGCTGGTGGAATCTGTGGCTTAGTAGCTGAGCGTTGGGGAGTTTTAAATTTAAGCCCTCATAGGGATGAAGTCATGTCAGTGTGTAGAGGCATCACTTGAGAGAATGTTAGTGGATTGTGAGGGCAAGTCCAAAGGGACATTCTCAGATTCTCCCTCTTTTTTTTTTTTTTAATATAT